AACATCCAAGCAAAGAAGAGATGAGACTTCCTGAACTCCTTTTGCATCACAAAGTTGCAAAACCCTTTTCTGCCACCAGGACTTGTAAAAGCTATAACACAGTAACAGATTGTGACTCTCGGCTAGTAAAATTTCATACTTTAACCAACTTTCATATGTTCAACTTAAAAAAATTAAACATACTGAAAGAAATTGCAAGTGATTACTACCAAAAAAAAAAAAAAAAACAAAAAAGGAAATTTTTCTTGTAGCAATATAAAGGCAGAAAAATATTAGGAAATTCTTGTAGGATGAATGGTAGAGAGATAGAGAGAGATCCCTGGGGATGTCCAAAAATAAACATATCTCATGAGGGCAAAGTAGAGAATAAGCTCAGTCTCCAGACTGGAAAACATTTTCTGAGCTTCAGAAATAAACATGGAGTAAACTGTTTGGGAAGCATAGAACAATGCATTTTGATCACCTCGGAAACTGAAAAAGCTTCCTCTTGGATAAAACTTTTCTGTCATAACCAGAATGGTGTGCACAGCCTGCAACATTCCCACTGTGACCAGACTGAAGATTGAGAAATAAATCACAGAGTTTGCTAATACCAATCTGCACTGCGTAGAAGAAGTATGTTCTAACATTGTTATATCTAATGTAGTTACATAAAGCAGTATGACAAAGCCAATAGATAGGAATATTTTGGCAAAAATAATTTATATAATAAGTAGTTTCCATGGCAGCGTTTACTGTCTGAGCTCAATACCCAATGGCACTGTTTAAAATCCTTTCAGGAAATTCAGCTTAATAAAGTACTAGCCTTTGCAAGCTCCAATGATGTTTAAATCTATTAAAACAGCATGTTTGTATTACATTTTAGTACAATATTCCCATTTTTGGTAGCTTAAGCAGATGAATAAAAAATATTATTTCCTCTCTAGCTGGTCCAATAAAAAGTGTAATTTTGTACTTTTGTCATGCACCAATCAAGGGTTAAATTTTGCAGAGCTTACTGGCTGTTACAGTACAAGTAAGCCATCATTTGAGAAGCTAGCCTTAAAGAAACTGGCATCCTCCTAAAAACAGTCAACCTACAGCAGAGGTATTTAGTGTTTCCCCTTCAAATGGGGAATATAAACAAAATTTTAGCCAATTGTATACAAGATTGAGCTGTTGGATAGATAGTATTCAATACTGAATAAATGGCAAGGGTAAGAGATGAGTCAGCAACTCCTCAGAACTAGACATCATTTAAATCGAGAATATGTATTTTCTTCTTGGAAACTCACACATCAGCACACTGGGAATCTTATTAATAGAAAAAGCTATTTTAGGTATCTAGAAGTCCTTTAAAACTGTATTACTTATAGTTTTCCCCTCTGAGTTCTAGGAAATTGGATTAATGGTATGCACAAATGAAATTTTATACTGTGAGGTAGAGAGCAGACCAAAAAAACTCCCTGTGATTTCTTATATAAAATATGTCTCAAAAACACAGTTATTTTTCCTCCTAAATATTTGGCATATCGAAAATGCGAGAGAATATAATGAGGTACACAGATTTTATTAACAGCTCTTTGAGATGTTTCATGAATATTTGTGGGACAAAAAATCCTGATATAACCTCACTAGCCCATCTCAGCACAAAAGCTTTGGGATCATATGAAAATGCAGTTCACTCACTCCTGTGTGAGTGCGTGAATATATTCAGTTAGATGTTTCCAATTACAGCAGTTACTAATATACTAGCACTAACTGATACACAGCGACAGCACTGCAGCCATGCAGCCGGAGCCAGAACCACAAACTCACCCAGAAGCCATTGCCAAAGAAAATGCCCTGGCTACACCCCTGCTCATTATTTTTTTCTGTTATTCCTGGGAAAACAAGATGGGACAACTTTGAGACATACAACTCCATTTTTCAGTTTCCTCTATTTCTATTTACTTGCTTCCCATGAAAATATTTGCTATTCCACAAAAAGAATAAAATCGAAAGTATTTTCATCTGTCTCCTGACACAAATTTGATCTGTTCAAGCGCATAGGTGATTATAGCTAAAAGCGTGGTTTAGAATATCTAAGAACGGATTCAAGTCTTTCTTCTTTCTGATTCAGAGCAGGGCATTTCCTTCTGTATCAGGTAAAACAGGAACATGAACTTCAGTTCTTGCAGATATTTTAGTCCAGAGACCAATACTGCAGCTATACTATATTTTCATTCAAAATATTCTTATCATCTCCTGTTCTCTCACACCTTTAAAGCCCTCTTGTGAGAATCAAAAGTAGACCGAACATGGCTTACCAGTTTAGCTTCTGCTGGATGATTTGTTGATCTAAACTTGGCTTCAATTCTGTCTGAAGATTAAAGACTCAACAGCATGCGTGCCACTGCCAACTTCAACCATCTGTCATTACTCTCAAGTATGTTTTAGCTGTGATATTTACCTACTTGCTGCTGTTTTGTAAACAGAACACAAAATGATGAATACCTTAGCACTTAACCTTTCCAGAGACCTTACCTTCTGATTTAGCACCCAATCCTCACTCCTTGCTTAGATAGAGCTCCCAAACCAAGCCCACATCGATTCTTTTCTCTGTGATAATTTAACAGCTAGATGACTAAAGTATGAAAGGTTTCATTTTGAAGCAGCATTCAAAAACTTCATAATATCCAAGATCTTTCATAATAATGTCTTACTAAGATAATGAACATTTCCAATATATATTAGTGACTACGTCTGTATGCATATATAGTACATGAAATAAAACCATAACCATTTGCAGGCATGCCACCTTACATGTCAACAAAGAGACCATTACACAAATTGAGATAAAAACTTCTCTGTTATTTATGCCATAACAACAAGGGTAGCTCCATTGCATTACTAATAGGTGGTCTGACAACACAGGACATTCACTAAGACTGAAAATCATTAGAGAGTTTTGGCAAAAAATTGCTGAACTGTTCTGTTGCATAGGCCTGGAGTGTTTTTTGTGTATTATTTCTTTTTAAACTACATTGCTAAATCTATGTCTTTGACAGGACAGGCTAGAATTATCACTGTGATGCAGAATTATTGTATAAATAGCATCTACAGCTAAGCAAATTTGTTAATTTGGTTATGCAGTGTATCAAAAAAGAAAGGTCCAAATCTGAGTTTCTCCAGGTAAGTATTTAGTACTGTCATGCCTGCTCTCATTTAGTGAATCTTGAAAAAAAATTTCTGAACAAGAGCTCGCTGTTAAGAGGAGGAGATGAGTGCTGTAAGATTGTGCCTGAGACAGGACCGACGGCAAACAGTGTTCTAATATTCACTGGCCCTTCCAGCCAAACATTTACATAAAAAAGCAGCTACAAAAACACTGAAGGGAAGAAAGCAACCCCTTGGGTATAGGCTGGAGGGATAAGCATATTGGAGAGAAAATGAATAAATGAGAATAACATGAAAGCTACTGATGAGCAGAAATTATGTCATTTAAAGGCAGTTGAAAGAACAGTGGTTGTTACTAGAAGCATTTGAAACTTTCTTCCATGTTTCCCAAGAAAGGCCTGGTATGGCTTCTATGTCACCTTCTACAGAGAACTGGTTATGCTAGAATGATCTGGGTTTGTGGTTTTATTCTGGAAATGAACTTTATTAGCATTCAAGATTACTTGGGGATCATTTCCATTAATGAAGCACAATATTGCAAGAAGAAAGAAAAAAACTTTCTTAGCCTTTACCTGCCTCGATTGTTAAGCAGCAACCTCTTAAAACCTTATGTTTAATGGTTTAGGGAAGCCTCTGGAAAGGAAGTATCTTTTCCCCTTTCTTCTACACCAGCCGGTACAAGATGCGTCCATTAAACTCACTGACTCATCTAAGTTGCACAGTCAAAGTGCTGACAAAACAATTAGTGTTTATTTCATGTTCATTGTCTCCTGCTTGTGTCTTGTTTATGATTTGTTGGTGTATTTAGCTGCCAGGCTGAAACTATAAAATATATCTCAATGTCAGTGGGAAATTTTCTGTGTAAAATATAATGTTAGTATATAAATCAAAAGCATTAGTGTTACTCTACTAACAGAGTAGAAAGAGCAGAAAAGAGTGGAAGTGTCTGTCTAGCACTGATTTCTGTATTTCAGGATGTTTGCCCCCTGTTTTTCTTAGTTAAACCTCTGATAATTATAGGGGTAGAGGTTTTAGTCTTTATCCTTTTTTTTTGAAAGTTGTTAGCTTTTAGTGCACATAAGGAATACCAGTCATGGAGAAAGCTTAGGACTACTGCATTTAAAAACAAAGGCTGAGGTATTAGTATACCTGGGTGCATGGACTTGACTAGGGGGCCTCATAGTGAACACAATTTCTTCAGCTCTCAAAGATAACACCAGTTACAGCAACACTCTTCCTTGTAAGAGCAGTAAATCCATCTCAAACCATTGTAGTCTTTTAAACAAGCTTTTTATACTGTAAGATCAGAAAACACTAGAGTGCCAAACACTGTTTGTTATTATGCAGCTTAAAATAGCAAAGGCCAAAGCATGTAAGCATTAAGAATTTGTTTCTGTAAAGACTCTGTTGTTGAATATACCACTTTGTTAAATGGAGGTCATTACTGAACTCATTATAAGATTCAAAAGTTGGATTTTATGCCACATTATAATTTTGATTCCTTTTACCACAATCTTATGTGTTAGTTCATCTTGTTTGAGGTTTACAATTCTCTAATACTTCCATTTTTCTTGACATGTAAGGAACATAAAACACTACCTGATATCAGGAAGAACTCTCTGTGATGATGACTGTGTCATTTTTTCCTATGTTTGAGCCATGCTACACACATGGTATTGCATAAAATTTGGCAAGTATAATTACAGCCAGAGAGCTGTAAATATTTAGAGAGGACTGATCACTGGAAACAAGTGAGAAGACAGTTACAAGTAAATGAATAAGAATATCCACAGATGCTCATTTCCCTGCAACATAGTTATATGGCATAAGTATAAGTAGCTGGATATCTTGAACCAATTTACCAATTTCCACTGGAAGATGGTTGATTTGATTTTTTGACAACTCCAGCACTCTCAGATCTTGAAATAATGCAATGTAAGCTGGAATGGTTTGTATCAATGTATTGCACACGTGCCATTCTTTCAGATAGATCTGTTCTTTCAGAGAATCTGGGAATTCCTGTAAAGGAAATAAGAACAGGTAAATAGAATGTATCAAGTTAGAATTTTGTTCTACCATGTTTCTAAATACAGGGGGAAAAAATTCCACAGCCAAACCTCAACACTTTGCCTTAATTATCTTGATGTAGAACAGCAGTTTGCCAAACCCTCATGGGAGCTGTTTGCTTTTGAAGAGCCTTGCAGCTGTCTGTCACCACATATTCATTTTTTAACTGCTAATGCAGTCATTTTGCTCTAAAACTGAAACCTATCCGAAGTACTCAACCTGTTTGGTGTCTCCCATATTATCTTCTTTTTCCAGCTGGAGGATTTTTTTAAAACACATTTCAGTGCTTTAATTCACACATCAAGATGTAGCAAAATGCAACATAGAACAGAAGAGTGGGTGTATGGAGAATATCTAAATAGAGTTTGCCACAAAAAAAAAAAAAAGTGTGACTGCATTCTTAATACCTGCCAATGTTTCAAAATTTGTTTGCCAAGATGGAACACAGTCCAAGGAACAGAAATGTTTCAGATGGGATACACACATATCACCTTTTGAAAGTCTTTTTTCAGTACATGATTTAACTTCCTAAGCTATTTCAGCAATGTTTGAAAATTTTTACTGATTTTTTTTAGGAAGAATAAAACCAGTCAATTTTTAAATCAGTCCACAATTGCAGTTAATTCTTGCTTAGTCATGCACGGACTTTTTCTTTAAGAATTCTAGTATTGTTGTAAATACACAGCAAATAGATTTGCATCTGAGTAGTTTAAAGACTATTCTATTTGTCCAAAATCTCCAACAGTTACTGAATCTCAAAGTTTTAAATCCTTTAATTCTTATAAAATTTGTTTAGTTAATTGGTATTCGGTTCAGATGTACACATCTTTGTTTGAATTATGTCATCAAATTCCTTGAACTTGAAACAGACAAAAATCAATTCATAAAGTTGAAGGTCAGATCATTTAAACTCCACTTTCTAAAGCAGCACATAATTTACCAGTCTGTCCTGGGTTTTGTATCACTGTGGATTGATAACATGTGGAATAAATAATCTGGGTGAGGTGCTATCACTAACTTTGCTCCATAAAAAGAGATGTAAAAGTTTCAGCCTTTAATTCCTTTATAACTTCCAAAGTTGTTTCCTGTGCATGAAGAACACGACACAGTAGGAATTACTGACTTTTATACTGAGGGCATTTCCCACCCTTTTTTTTTCCTTCTACATTTCATAGATCCCCCAAGACATTAACAAGAGTGATGCATTTTAAGTGTGTTTTATTAATTCTGAACTTCTGAATGTGGAATAGTCCTATTCAACTCTTAGTAAGATTAAAACATCTAATTGTAATTAAAGATATATCAGACTGTTGATCATAAGCTGTTCTTTTTTGGGTTGTTGCTGCCTCTAATTTCAGGTTTTTTAAATTTACACTTGCAGATACTTAGCTTATATATGTAGTTCTGCCTTGCTACCTGCCCTTCCGTATTTGATATGGGTCGTTTCATTTCTTGCTTCATTTTCCCACTAGGTGTATATTGCATGGTGATCCATCTTCTATATTTGTCAGTTTATGGCAGTTAAAAAATAAAATGCCTGAAATGCCTTAAGGCTGGTAATGAGAAATCTCTCCAACTTTCTGGAGTGAGTTTCCACTCCTCCACCTTCAGTGCTGCACGTTTTTCTGCAGCAAAATAAAAGAATAAATGCCAACTGCAGATTCACTGAGTATTGTCTTTCCCACCTGTACAGAATTGAAAATGCAGCACATAGGGAATAGCGTTTAGCAGGAGTGTCATAGATGCGGCTGTAGGGAAGAACCCTGATAAAGCAGATGCAGAACAGTCATACCAGAAGAAAAAAAAAAAAAAAGATGCCTGGGTAACAGATACCATTTGCCACTCTATTTCTCCACAGTCCAGGTCTGTCTTCGTCTTTCCACTGACCTACTGGGTTTTTGCACCTTGTTGTCACAACAGACCATCTCCAGCTTCTTACTGGCAGATAGAGCAGGGAGGAAAGGGGAACGCTTGCCCCTGAGAAGTCAACAGCCTTGCTGTTCTCCCAGACTGAAAGGTATCCCACAAATTTCTTCCTGATGCTTTTAAAACAGAGAGTCCAAAGCACTCTCTCAGATTAAGATCAAACTCCTTCATAATTTTGGAAAAATTAAGCTAAATATTTCAAAATTTATTTTTTATTAATGTGAAAGAGATTTCAAAAAGTCTTTACTTCTGTACTAAAGGTAGTTTAAAGCATCAAGATATTCTTGTTCAGTAACTGAGATAAATTCAGGCATAACTTCAAAAGAATGCAAAGGGGTTCCATTCTTCTACCAATTGCCCTGACTTATTTATCTTTCTTGAGATTATTTCTTTAAATCTTACAATCATATCTGCAACTTGCAAATGTAAGTTTACAAATACTTTGTTACAATGTGGTTTTTTTAGCAATATTCATCTTACAATACATTTTATTTGTGCTGTTGAAACATAAATTGATGTGATATTTTATTTCATTTACAAACTAGACAGGGATGGGAACTGAAATTTGCACAAGCTTTACTTTTGCTTTACTCTCTGATTCCCTTGTGTTCTTTTGTAATCTTCTGCTGCCACGCTAAAGCTGGCAGCCTGCTGATAAATTGCTCCATGAAGACTGACACTTGGAGGATAGCCAGTCTTCTGTCTTTAACAGCAAAACAATATCTCTAACTCCTTTGATTTTTGGGAGGGAAAAAAAAAAAAAAAAACTACTAAAAGGAAATAAATAGCAAACCTGCAACCATTGCTGATTATACTATTTCTAATTAGGAGATAATTTACCTGCTAGACATGAGCCTGAAATAAAACTGTCATCAAAGCTTTGAGAATTTTGAATACTGATCTTTTCCAGCTCTGTAGTTTTGTCTGTCATGGGCCAAACCAAAACCTTGGATTCAAATCTCCCTCATCTTTGAGAAAGTTTGGAGCTAGTTCCAAAATTAGTATGTCTCAAGGCCACCATGAGACATACTAAGGAGGACCTGGGTCAAACTTCCTGACTGGGTTAAGAATTTTAGGGGGAGAGGGGGAAACTCTGGAAGTTAAATAAGCACAAGAGATACTTTCTCTGTCTATTCCATACAGCAATTTTACTTGACCCTTTTTGGCAAATAAATACCTCGCTGTGACTAAGAGTTGGAAATTATAAATGGGAATTCTCTGTTCTCTGCGAAAATACACAGCATCTTAGACGATAAAATTGGCAGAATAAATACAAATGTATTAAGTAATTTGCTGCCTTTTTATGTGAATAAATGATATACAAGAAGGTCATGAATTATAAGAATTTAACTGTCACTCATTCATTTACTTGTTGCACACATTTGACATTAAAGTTGTTTAAAGTAGGTATGTATTCAGATCCTCTGCTTAGGTAAAGAACAGCCAAGAATAACCCTGCTCTGTATTTGAGTGAACGTCATCACCATTCCTTTGCCAATATTGATATCATAAATTCAAAAATTTGTTTTTACTGAATATTTTCTGAAAATCATTTAAAATTCACTGATCCGCTAGAGAATAAGCATTCATTAGTTAGGAGCAGAAAGTAAACACTCAGGGGGGAAAAACAGACTTTAAATGAATTCATTGAAAAATTCATATGAATATTCATGGCATTATTTTGCCACAGTTTTCATTCTTCTCTAATAGCAGTGCTATTTCTCTGAAGAACTAATTTAATTCAGCAGATACATGTTTACATGTACAAAGGATCTCAATTAAGTGTTTCATCAACTCTCCGTCATTCTCTGCTAGGCAACTGATTCAAACACACAATTCGAGGGTCCAAAGTCCTTATACAGCTCCTTTTCACAGTGGGTTTGCCTGGAAATGTCTCAGATAAACAAAAGTTTTTTCTGAAACATACCTTGAGAACCTCAAATTACTTGTAGCACAGTACACCATTCTTGTGCTGTCAAGTTCCGAGGAGTTTGCAAACACAGGAGGATTTAGGAAACTCACTGTTGGGGCAACACAACTAGGTTGTGCCCATTTTTTGTGAAGATAAGAGGAAAGAAGAGAAAGGCCTATCTGATTGCATTCACAACATCGGATTATGAGACTAACCCATTTGTTATTATAAGACCTCTTTCCTAAACACCAATAGTAATTGATTACGGTTCCCAGTTGGCAGAAATGCACCACACAGGGATGTAGACACTTGAGCCAAAAATATTTGGTTAGTATGTAAAGCAGGAAATGAGAACCACTGAACCTTAAGGGTGTTGACACACAGCCGCTTCCAGATGGACCTCTGACAGACAAAGGTAAACTGTTTCATCACTGTAGTTATCAACCACTGTCCAGAGCCAGAAGCTAACCACCCTGGACAGGCATGGCCAAACCAGTACTCAAGTTATAAGAAGACTTTCAGATTCAGAGAGACTCACTGAGTATATGTTCTTCAAACACAAAGGCTTGATATTAATCCTACTAGTGTTGTAGTTCAGAAGATTTCCATTGGGTTAGTGTGAGCACGCTGTTAGAAAACCATTGTGACTTGAGATATCTAGCTAGAGGCTCAAACCGTATGTCTCAAAAAATTGGCCTAAAAATGAACAATAACTAGGAAGAATGAATGATCCACAAGGAATTATGGATCTGCATAAACAGAATACATTTCCTCAGAATTCATATACTGTAAAATCAAGCCCTCCTCTCTTTAGCTAATACTCTGAGCCTATTTGTCTAACCTAATATTCATTGTATGAGCTTTATCTTTCCTCAGATATGTTAAAATAATTACTTTACAAGTACCAGGCACAGTGGGTCTCCACCTAATGAAAACACATTATCATTTCAATAGCATTTGAGAGGTGGGAAAGAAGTGGCACAGAGGCCTTGAAGGAATTCCTATTAGGAATTCAAAATGCGCGATCTGCTCTAAATTTCTCCCTTACAAAGGTTCTCAGAAGGAGATCTGAGTTAAGTTTCAAAACAGCACTATCCAGGTGATTTTTGAAATAATTGTCCAAGCTATCCCAGTATACAATGGAGAGTTTTACAAAACCCATTTTTAACCTCATACTAAACAACGCAGAATGACTGTGCCAGATTCACTGCTAGGCTGTACGGTTATGGAGCATGAGACAATAGCATCTTTGCAACATGCCTACATTTTTACCATCTACACACCCTGGGCACTGATTAGTGTCCAACACAAGCTACCACTCTAATTGACTGCAACGTTGCAAATAACACCATCAGTTGATTTGTGCACTCAGCTCATTTGCTGCTGAAGTTTCCAATGAGAGCTCTGATATTGAGACCTACAGGAAGGATGTGGTAAAGCCCCTTGCTTCAATTTTGAAAAATCCCTATGCTGGGGATTATTCCTCTGTGACACTTAACTGCACAGCATCCAGAAAGAGAACTAGTACAGCCCAGAAGCAAGCTCAGTTCTCAAAATTAGATCTGTAAGTCATACCAGCAACCTAGTCAGATTTAGCTATCAACTGTCTGGAGGATATATTACTGCTTCATTGATGAGAGGAAAGGGGAAACGTAATAGAAATACTTATCAGCTAAAAGCAAGTGAGATAGAGGATTCAGCAGCTAGTTCCCAAATGGACACTTCACGGGGCTATGCTGTTTGCTGCTGCCAGCAGTAAGTGGCCAGCCAACAGCAAATGAAGCTGGTTATGTGCCTGTAAAACTGCACAGGCAATCGCAGCTCTGACTTCTCCTAGTGTCTGAGTGCTTAATCTTCCAAACTTTCAACTCATAGATGTATTTGTGTGCAAAATCCACTACAAAAACTAGCCCACAATTGATACCACAGCTCCCAGCTACGTAACATACAGACGTCTCTGAGAAAACTGTCACATGTCCACAGATCTTTTCCCATGCAAATTGCCAGCCTGTGTAACTTTGGTAGTATAGTCTGCAAATTCATTTTGCCTAAGTGCACTTTTTTGTGAGAGAGTAATAGTGGAAAAGAGTGTCATGTTTGATTCTGTCTTTGGTTTAGAAGCAGCTGTTGAGAATAAAAAAAGCAGGATAAGTGGTATGATTTGTATAAACAATATAATTTTAAAAACATTTCTGCAATAAGGGGAAATAAACTTCTTTCAGAACTTTGTCGAGTGGATTTTCACATTTTTCAAATAATTCTTAGCTGTTAGAGACTGGTAATGTTCCTTGATTTTGAAGGAGCGTTGATCTTCTCTAAATAAAGTAGCTTTGATTTTATCTTTGTCTGCAGACACCTGAACTATGTCACAGTATCTTGTTGAAATAGGAAGGCCATTTTAACCAGGCTAGAGCTGGACAGATATCTTTTAAATGCAATCTTTCAGCGTGTCAAATTGAAATGAAATGCTCTGGAAAACAGAGCAAACTATGTATGTTTGATTTTGCCTCCTAATGTAAAGCCTTGTTTATGGTGGCAAAGGGAAAATATTAACTGTTTCACAAAAGAGAATAAGCAACAAAAAAGTCTAGTTATGCAGCTCTCTGCTCACTGACATACTGAAAATATTTGCAGTTGCTACTGTATCATTACTTAAGGAGCTGTGATATCTTTTTCTTTTCTCCTAATGGATCTACAAAGTTTACAACACAGGAAAGCGTGCAATATGAGACTACAAAGCTTTAACATCATTTTCAACATCCAAGGTTCTTGAAAGATGAGATGTGATAGCTCTCTAGCAACCAATCCTGCTGCATGAATGATTGGCATTGGCTGAAGAAATAGTCTCCTTACTAGCGCTGGATGGGAACTAGGGGTTTCTATTTTCCAGAAATTTAATCTATTTTATGTTTGTTCCGGACAAATCTAAAGCCAGGAAAAAAAAAAAAAAACAAGAAAACCCAACAGCTGAAAAAAGAAACATTTTCATATTCAAGATCAGCTAGGACAAAGTTACTTTTCAGGTCAATTAAAAGAATTGTTTTAGTAAAATTTAGCCACTTCATCAATTGGCTTTTAAACTTGCATTTTTTGTAATGAAAATCCAAAAAATATATTTCAAAATTATAAACTACATAAAACTAAGAGTTCTAATTTTAATTTTTCATTCATAAAGTAGTGTATATTTCAGAGGTTTAACAACTCTAGAAAACTTCAGACCAACTCTAATCCACCTTTTGGTGAATTTGAAAAGAGCATTAATTCAGATCTTACTTCCAAACTGCTATTTCACATCAAACACAACTGCAAGTAAAAAGAGGGTTTTTTTCAGCAAGACCATTGTGGATTGAAGCTAATATTAGTTTTGATTCAAACAGAGCTTGAGAAAAATGTTATCACATCATTAAGCAAGAAGACAGATCTCTGAGTAGTAGAAGACATCAACAAAACAACAAGCCTAAATATTATTTTCACCTTTTTCCATCCATTGGGGAGTTTCAGAGAAAGATACATTATTGCAATATGATTGCTTATACCTAAATTTTTGAGAAGGCTAAATTGCATGTATCAGTAGAGAACTTAAAATAAGCATATTTGAAAACTAAACCACTAGTTCAGAGTAAGATAGGAAATGCTTTTGTCACTTCTAACACTACAAAAAAGCATCAATTTCATATGCATTGGGAAAAAAAAAGGTTTTGTGGATTAAATTTACAGTGCTAAGCTACCCAAATTCTTTAACAGAAACATATTTTCCATTATATTTACCGTCCACTGCTCTCCAGAAAGCTGAAAAATAAACTTGTTTCTTTCCTTATTTGATTCGTCTGACAAAGCATGCCTCTTCTGGAGCTGAGGAGTCTTTCCACAATTGTCCAAGATCTTCACATCAGTGTCTACAAAGCCATTCTTGAGGTATTTTGACTGAGGAATGCCTTTCTTCCGGCACTCTAGTATGAAATTCCAT